CTCAGTGGGCTCTTTACATCCTGTGGTCTTGCAGGTGCAGCGGCTGCTGGCTGCTGGCCACAGGCTGGGTAGGCAGGCTGGGTGCCATATGCAGACTGAGCTGCACAAGAGGCTTGGGTTGTGGTGACTGGAGCAGTGGTGGTGTCATGAGCACCAGTGCCACATCCTTGAACAGTCTGGCTGTGTGCCTGGGGGCAGTTGGAGTGGTATCACCAGTGGGAGGCTGTCCATAGGAAGTCACATATGCAGTCTGCCTGTAGGTGGCAGTGCTCTGAGCTGATATCAGTAGGCTGTCCATACGTTCCATAGCTTTGTTTCCCATAGGCCTGGGTGGTCTGTGCATATCCTTGAGTTGGCTGGGCTGTGTAAGCACTGTAGCCCTGCTGGGCTGCAGCTTGGCTGTAGGTACTGTAATCTGCAGACGCCATTTTCTCTCCTTCCTCCTCGTTCTCTCCCCCTCGACAACATTCTGACCCTGTTCTTGAAAATTGCTTAGAAGAGAACACAAGTGTGATAGCTTCACTACTGATCAGGAATCTGCTTTTGTTCATGTCCCAGGTGACGCTTTCGACCCTCAGAGTGGTAATGAGTACTTCAGTGCTACCAGTCCAGCTGAATACACTCATTATGCAACGCACTCCAAGGTTCTGCCACTTTGGGAAGCAACAATGGCACTGCTGATCCTCACCACCGGAATATGGTTTTTGAAATTTGTATCAACAGTGATGATGTGGGTATTCAACCTAATTTAACATGTGACATGCATTAAAATGAGTTTAACAAGGTAAGTTAGACCACAACAGTGGTTTAAAATAGATGATTTATGCACTAGAAATCCAATTCTCTTTGGCACCAATACATATCATAAATAAATTTTGTGCTAAATATAGGACTCTTTAGCCATTACCTAAAACTAGAAAAAATGCTTATCTTTTCCAATCATATTGAAAATACATCTAACATGAAACTTGTGTTGTCTGAATGGCTAAGCAGAGAAATATAACTGTTAGATATTAGTTTCTATTTTTCTCTGTCCATAAACTGTGACTTATGTGGATAGCATCATTTTGTAAAGAAACACCGCCAAAGAAGCAACATGTGAGAATAAAACCAATGAAATAAGGCTCCACATTGTCACCACTTCTCAAATACAATGGCATTCCTTGTGACATGACACTACATAAGATTCTACTGGTGATGCCTCTGTTACTGCTCATCCTGATGCTGCCACAAATGATGTTCTTGATACTATTGATAATTCTTGCTTTTCTTTTTAGTTGCTGCTGAAGCCTACAAGGAGATACCGATAACAATGACAATTTCAGGAATATTTTAAAAAATTAATAAAGTTTCTTGACACCGTATATACTGATTTCGGTATATAATAGTTTTTTCATTAAAATACGTTTTAAAAATATTTTAAACTGTTTCTTGGTATTTTACAAACTGTTGACATGATGTCTTGGTGACATGTTTAAGGAGAAAGCTTCTATAATACCTATCAGAGATAGAACAGATAGTGGCATATCAAATCAGACAGACCACGAACAGATGTTGGCTGAACACCTGACTATGAAAGAAGAAAAAGCAGAGAGGCAGAGGGAGAGAGACAGAGGAGGAGACACAGAAAGAGGGAGTGGAACATAGAGACAGGGGGAGACAGAGAGATAGGTATAGAAAGAGAATAAGAAGCTGGGGTAGAGATTCTTCTGAACTAGAGGAAGGTTAGGGGAGGGCAGGAGGGTAGAAGATCTAGAACACTAGCATGGACTTTGAACTGTACAGCAGGTACTTGTGCTACTGAAGGAGCCTGTAGGCCGGTCTGTACCTTACTATGGTAATAGACACCACAGGCAGCCAATATTCCCTACTTCCAGTGGTAAGAGAAATGACACCTTTGGATAGAGGAACTAGCTTCACAAGTTTTTAAGGAATGTTGGTTTTTATCTATCCTCCAAAAATCCTCCAAAGTCCAGGTTGAGCCCGTTTCTGGGTATCTGAGACTGCCATTACAGTTTTGGGAACTGGAGTTCAATAATAGGCGTCAATGAATTTTAGTGGATTTTCTTTTTTTCTTTTTTTTTCTTTTTTTTTTTTTATGTATACAATATTCTGTCTGCGTGTATGCCTGCAGGCCAGAAGAGGGCACCAGACCTCATTACAGATGGTTGTGAGCCAACACGTGGTTGCTGGGAATTGAACTCAGGACCTTTGGAAGAGCAGGCAATGCTCTTAACCGCTGAGCCATCTCTCCAGCCCTTTAGTGGATTTTCTAAGTCACAGACCAGCCTTGTTGAGGTTTCCATACTCAACTCTAACATAAGTAAAAAGCACCACCCAAACTACTCTATTGGCCTTAAAATCCAAAGAGTTAAAGTGTGGCTGCTTACGTGAATTTCCTTTTCCTGTAATTTTATGGCATCCCATCCCCTAGCACACATTAAGTGAGAAAAGTCCCTCACTGAGTATGGGGCCTTAAGAACCCCTTCCTGTGTGTGATGATCATTGTGTCCTTGACACCATTTCACAGAAACCATCGACAACCTCTGCCTCTCTCTTCCAGAGTAGTAGTTCAGATGTCTTGCTGAGGTCTGAGAACTGCACAGTTATGCATTCTCTAAACTTCGGCCAGGTGTGAGTCTATGCATTCACCAGAGCCCATTGACTAAAGAAACGTCTCTCATTAGGGATCACAGTTGCTCGATGCTCACCTTACTAGACCTGGATGGAGGTGGGTGGGCCTTGGACTTCCCACAGGGCAGGGAACCCTGATTGCTCTTTGGGCTGAGGAGGGAGGGGGACTTGATTGGGGGAGGGGGAGGGAAATGGAAGGCGGTGGCGGGGAAGAGACAAAAATCTTTAATAAATAATTTATTAATTAACATAAAAAAGTTGCTCGAATGCATAGGTGTCAGCAAGAGTACGTAGAAGGCAGCTTGATTCTATGTAAGTTTAACAAAACAACAACAGAGGGCCTGTTGTGTGGATTCAACACATCAGTGATTAACTCAGGGTCACCAATACTTCATCAGTGTGGCATTAAGGAAAGAAAAGCACTTCCACTGGGATTCATTTCCAGATTTGAATTTTCTACATGTTCCCTGTCTTCCCTTCTTTGTCTGTTGCATGACTCTAAATCTGTGCCTTTCTGAAGAAGTCTGTCTGTCCCTGTGCTTGTTCTCTTGTCTGAGTCTATGTCTGTCCCTACATCTGTCCTTGTGTGTAAATGTGTGTGTCTGCCCCTTTTGTTGCTCACTCTTTTATTGAATTTCCCCATAAGAATCACCTGGGGAAGGAGTGGGATACTTTACAGAATCATTTGTGGAGTCTTACAAGGGATGAAGGTAATAACTGCAACTGATCCCAACTCACCCAGACAACAAAAAACATTACAAACACCATGTTTGCCCAGTAATGCTGCTGTGTTCCATTGTTTTGGGGGATATTCATTTAAGAGTGCTTTCAACCTCTATGTTTCCTGTTTTATACAAATGATACACATTTGTTCTGGATCAGGGGGCACAGAAGAAAATAAGATTACTTAAGTATTAGTTTAGTTTGTAAAAGGTGGCTATGCAGGAAGACCAAGGAAAGTAGTGGTCATTGTTACATTGTTCTCTTAAAAGTGGGTTAACAATCAGTTTGAGGACACAGTAAGATAGCAGCCTTATATCTTAAATGATCTCAAAGCATGTTATGAACTCTGGCTGTGATGTCCAACAAAGGTTCCAGTCTCTAGAATCAGAGAGATTTCCATATTACATCACCATGGCCTTAGTCATTGGGCTCTGAACCAGCTTTACAGAACCAGCCAAGAATTCCCTACTGCGTGGTAGACCTAAAATCAAATCAGAAAGTTGATTGTTCCTATAAGAGTCAACACACTATCACACGGAGAATATCTTGCCAGGCAAGTTGTCACATACAGTGTCTACAGATTGGTAGAATCATCGCCAACTTTCCTCATCCAGTAGCTTGCATAGAAGCTTCTAGCACTGTGGAAGCTATCTAGCACAGATGCAACATGACCTTTAAATGTCCTATATCCCAAGTGTATAGTGTGTGTGTTCAGAATCATCCACCAATCTAATTCTCGTGTGTAAATGAGGACATTGGTAGCAGCCTGTAATGTTTGACAGGCGCCCCCTTACTTCACAGCTCAGAGGGAACTATCTCACAGTATTGGAACCTTTGTTTAGTCAACTTAATCTTTGGGAGAAACGTTACCCATGCATGCAGGGCTCCTTCATTCAGTTGTTTTACTTAGGCTTCCAAGGATGCAACTCCATTCGCTAGGCTTGGTGGCAAACCAAGGTACATGTGTAGAGGTCAAGAGCATCACTTTCTGGATCATACTCTTACCTCTACCATGTGGTTTCCCAACATCAAACTCAACAGCATATGGCTGGCATCAAGCACCTTCACATGCTAAACTATTTATCCAGCCCCTCAAATGATTTTAAAGGACTTCAAATGTAGTATTTTTCCAAAAGGATTTTTTTCCTCCATGCTTAATTTTGGTTAACCCTTTCCCCACCATCACACTTCTTTCATCGCTGATGAAAATTTTCCACTTGCAAAGTTTCTTTACCCTTCCACAGTGCATTTCCTCTGCCATCCCACTTCCCTCCAGGCCTGTTCTCCTCTATGATCCATTTCATGCTTTGAGTTTTACAGACACTCGAAATTAAAAACATTTATCTGAAAATTCAAAGCTTGGAACCAGATGTAAGATAAATAAATTCAATTAAAAATGGGGTACAGAACCACACAGAATTCTCAGAAGAATCTCAAATGGCTGTAAGACATTTAAGGGAAGGTTCAACATCCTTAGCCATCAGAGAAATGCAAATCAAAACAACTCTGAGAAACCATCTTACACCTGTAAGAATGGCTAAGATCAAACACACTAATGATAGATTATGCTGGAGAGGATGTGGAGTTAGGGGAACACTCCTCCATTGATGGTGGGAATGCAAACTTGTACAACCACTTTGGAAATCAGTATGGTGGCTTACCAGAAAATTGGGAATCAACATACCTCAAGACCCAACAAGACCACTCTTGGGCATATACCCAAAGAATACTCAACCATACTATAAGGACACTCCAGTGTGTATCTGTGAACATTCATGCCCCTACAGACATCCTTGTGACCACATGACCGGCTAGCAGTTACAGCTCACTGTTACTTCTCAGTAGCATCAGACTCCAACAGACTAGCATACTGTGTATTGCTAGCCTAGGAAAAGATGAAGTTCAAAGTGCAGTTTCCCTGGGATGCTTCTCACTTTTTCAATCCTGTAAAGTCAAAAAATCACCAGCCAGGGTACTGAATTTTAGGGCTTCAAAAAAAAAAAAAAACCCTTAATGCTAGGTTATTGAAAACTGGATTTTGGTAATACAATTGAACACAAACAGAATACATTAAAAGATATTCTGTAAAAGCATTATGTGTATAGTTAGCCATGACCAAAAATAAATCCTGAAACAGAGTTTGAAAAACAAAGGTCACACTATTAAAAAAAAACATAGTACATACAATTTTTTGAAAATCTTTGTTAAATTGAACCATCAGAACTTCTGCCTGATTTTCAATATCTATATATCTACATCAAACAAGACTTTGAATATGAGAAATGAGTTTGTCTTCTAACTCCTTCTAATGAAGTCCACCTTCATCACGCTCGTTTTGAGTCTATTAGAGATGGGTCCAGATGGTCTAATCAAGCACAGGTTGCTGGCAGGAGATGAAGTTCTACCTCCTGTAGAAATCAGCCTGTGCTGCCTATTCTGACAGTAACACCCTAATACCTCCCTCTCAAGGCTAATTTCCAGTCTCTCAGACAAATGTCTTGATGATGTTTGATTTTTCTTGACTCAAGGTTTAGATAAAGCTATTGTAAAAACTCACAAGGCAGGACTCTAAGGTCTTTATTTTATCAATGGTCTAAAAATACATCCAGGTATTAAGAAGGAAAAGTAGTGTATGTATGAATAAACTATTATTGGCTATTACTGATTCATAGAAACAAACCTGCCCTCTTATTCTAGAGCTGAGTGAAGTCTGACTGTTCTATTTAGCATTGACAACTGAAATGCGCCCCTGTCTCTACAGACGGTGCTGTATGAATGCTCCTTTTAGGTTTCCTTATTAATATTCTGAGTGCAGTACAATATTTCTAAAAAGGACATAATTTTTATAGTGAGTATGCCTTTGACTTTAGGTATGTTCTTGTCTTGGCAGACTGAAAATGGGTATATTTTGCCAGAAAGTATAAAGAAAGAATCTAAGAAAACAATATGACTGAAATCTGTGTTCTTCAAAAACTTTCCCCTGAGTTTACATGTTAAAATGCAAGAATATCAACACCTCACAAATATATCTGAATTAAAAAATAAGAACAACATAAAAAAATTTCCTTTTATAAACATAGAGGATGTTGGTGCATAAATAGAGTAACACTGTTAAGTGATTCAAAAGCACAGTCATTATATCTTCTTCCTCCCTAGTTTCAAGCACAGGTGAACACGAATCTTAACTGGGAAGAGGTCACATCCAACACCTCAGCAGCATCACAGCTCAGTAGCAGAACAAAGCAGAAAATGATTAGGTCAGAAAACACCACAAAACAAAGTACACTGGAGACAACTGAGTAGGGCAGGAAGAGCAAAGTTCTCAGGATTGGGGAGGAGGGACTGGGCAGTCCACTTGTAAACAGTCCCATCTTTTGTGACTATACAGCACTGACAATTGAGCTGTCAGGAGCCTCGCTGGTTTCTACATCATCAATAGCTGCAGGTTCTGGAATTTCATTCATCCTCAAAACCTCTTCATAGAGCAAATAGCTCCGCAGACTTCGGGGAAGAGGCAACTGATGGATGAGACTGTTAGAACGAAGGTGCTCTGCTTTTAGACTGGCCCAAATTTCCAAACGGCAGAGATGGGTCAGGCATGGGACACAGGCTGGAGAAACAAACGAACAAAATATTAACTGATAGTGAAATGAAGAAAAGATTAAGGACCTAAGCTTGGACTTCAGATCACATATAAAAGCCAGAGACGGGAGTACCAATGTGGTTTGCTCGGTAACAATCTACCTCCAGATTCAGTGAGAAACACTGTATCAAAATTGTAAGTCAGGGAATGATAGACTAACATCCTTCTCTGGTTTCCACATATGCATACAATCAAGAATACACACACACACACACACACACACACACACACACACTAGTAATACACTAAAGGAAGCAACAAACCCATCTCCATATAACAAGAGAAATAGTTTGTTGCTTAGTCTTGTTTTCAAAGAAGACTTGTGGATAAGAATAATCACATTCAATTTTCAATTATTTTCCTCTCCTGGTTGCCCTTGCTTCAATTGGTCACTCAAAGTCAGTATCCAATCCATAGAAGGTAAATGTTTAAATTCTAAAGAACTGATGATACAAGCTGGCATTTAAGAAAACTCACAACAGAAAATTGCTACTTCCCTCTTAGTCTGTTTCATTGCCAAGAGTCTTGTAACCTAACATATCAAGTAAATGGATGTGCAGTCTGAACATCATCTCTTTGCATCTGTGACATAAAATGAAGTTTCAAGGGCTGGCAAGAAGGATCAAAGGTTAAGAGTGCTAGCTGCTCTTCCAAAGGACCCAGGCTCAATTTGTGACACCAACACAGTGGCTCACACCTATTTCAAATTCCAGTTTCAGGGGATCCAACATCCTCTTCTGGCTTCCATGGGAACCAGGCATGCATGTAGTGCACATACTTGCATTAAAAACATCCACACTTAGTAAAATAATGATTTTTAGAATGAACTTTTAAAATTGGCACGGAAAGAGAACATTCATTGAGTGTCCTCTATGCCATATGCCAATGCATTTCAGAGATACTCTAGTTTTGTATCACTTTCTCTGGTCTAAACATGCAGATACATACACAATATCGATCTATCAATCTATCTATCTATCTATCTATCTATCTATCTATCTATCTATCTATCTGGGTTTCCCAAGCACATGTTTTACCAGTGATCTGCCCCAGTCCCTGATATAAATTACCATGCTATCATAAGACAGGAAAACAGAAACTTAAAAAGAAGATTCAGCAAAATTTCAAAGATCACAAAGTTGTTTAACTGGCAGAGCCACGGTTAAAATTTAGATCCATCTGACCCCAAAGACTCTAAGTGTGGTTTAAAGTTGTAGGATACACGATCACACTGTGAATCTCAAGTTTGCATTTGAGTGAACTTAATAAAATCAACTTTGGGTCAGGAGACAGAGTCAGCAACTATTTGACAGAAAGTAGACAGAGAGACAGAAGGGAACCAGAAAAAGAAGAGATACACAGGAAGTAGGAGGGAGGAACTTTAAATGTGACAGCCCTTTTTGGAGCAACAGAAAAGAGACTTTCTCATTCTGAGATGCTGGTGAAGAGTGAAGGTCATCTAGTTTCTGTTCAACTTCTCTGAGCTAGCAGGTTTTCAACCTAGCCTCCAACTGTGTGGTAAATAGAACAATAAGGATTTAGTTAAATAGTACATCTGGAGGCTGGAGAAATGGCTCAGGGCTTAATAGCACTGACTGCTCTTCCAGAGGTTCTGAGTTCAGTTCCCAGCAATCACACACATCTATAATGATATCTGATGCCCTCTTCTGGCATGTAGGCAAAGAGGTAGATAGAACACTGTATACATAATAAAAAATAAATCTTTAAATAACTGTATTTGGTGACAGTGGTGAGAGACAGATCTAGCAGGACATGGCGGCCTGAGAAGTGGGCCAGTGACTGCCACAGTTACTGGCTGAAGACAGTAGTATTCAGGTATAGCCTCTGTGCCAGTGGGAAAACAAAATTTTGGCACTCCAATGTGTGACATGATCACATAAATGGAGAATTCACACTAGTCGGCCATTACTCGTGGGAACTCTGGAAAATGGACTTAGACTTGGAAACTGCAGGAGGTGCTTGAGCCCACCACCAAACAGAGAAGTCAGCAGATTTGGTGAGACATTGTACGTCTTGAGCCCACCACCAAACAGAGAAGTCAGCAGATTTGGTGAGACATTGGGGCGTCTTGAGGGAGAGAGTTGAGTAATATTTTTTTAAAAAAATCATTTCCATGTTAAGGATGAAAAATATCACAAAGCAGGGTACTAGGACCCTAAATAATGCTACCATGGATGGTTTGAAAATAAAAATAGTAAATGAGGGGATAAAAGAGTTAGCTGAAATTGACATAATGCCGATTATAATCATCATCAGTTTGGTAATTCATCTCATCCTTAATAGCCACAGTGGTTTCTTTTGCCAAATATAAAATGTGTGGTCTGAAAGTTGTGCCAAATATGAAAAGTTGACACATAAGATATAAATTTTAGAAAGACTTGTATATAAAGTTAAGAAAATTTGACTGATAAGATGTGAGCCTTAGGCCAGGTGGTGGAGGCACACCTTTAGTTCCAGCACTTAGGAGGCAGAAGCAAGTGGATCTCAGTGAGTTCAAGGCCTGTCAGGACTGCTACTCAGAGTCTCAAAACAAAACAACAACAACAACAACAACAAAAAAAACCAGACAAACCTTATACTGACCTACTAATGAAAATAAGAGAAATACTCAGACACAGGAATGTAGACAAGAACCCACCATGCCACTGCATCATGAACTGAAGTGCAGTGTCCCAAAATTATTAGAAAACCTGCCGTAGTTACTATACAACAACCAGGAGACAACATACACCCTAAGGTCATCAGAAAGTTAATGGAATCCTATAGACATATTCTATCTGAGGAGATTTGAAGAAGCAGTCGTTTCATATGGTAAGCGTTCATCCTATGTAAAGCAGACGTTAAATTCATAAGCAATGCAGAACAGAAATATCCCACAAGACTGGAAAGAATTGGTCACAGAAATATTGAAAGCCGGTCTCAGACACAATGGATAACATGGTGGCAAGAGCAAGCTAGAGTCACAGAACAATGAAATAGGGCTAGAGGCATTGATGATTCCCAAGACCAGCTTCTAGGTGAGCACCAATATGCCGAGTTGCAACAGTTGAATTTGATGCATACAACTTGCTGCAATTTGTTGCAGATAGTTTGAATTGGATGATCACACACTGGCCCTTAACAGCTTGAGTGCTTGGGACAAGGTTGAAGAATCAGGAAAAAAAAGACTTTTCTATCAGTTGGTGCCTTTGGGTTTTCACTGCTGTGAAGAGACACCACGACCATGGCAACTCTTATAAAGAAAACATTTAATTAAGGGGATGGCTTACACTTTCTGAAGTTAAACCTATTATCACCATGGCAGAGAACACAGCGGCGTAGAGGGAGATGTGGTGCTAGAGCTGAGACTACTAGATCTTGCAGGTAAAAGGAAATCAACTGAGATACTGGGTGGTACTCAGAGCATAGAAAACCTCAAAGCACAGCAAACCCCCACAGTGACACAGTTCCTCCAATAGCTCATACCCACTCCAACAAAGTCACACCTCTTAAGACCGACAATCCCTATGAGATGATGAAAGCCAATTACAATCAACCTGCAGACTTGGCAACTAGCCAAGGAAAGTATAAGGACATGTACCCTGTTCCAACAGTTAGAATTGGGCAGGGTTTTGTTTTTGTCCTTCAAGGATAAAAGCATCCAACTAAGGAATCTATAGGTTTCTGGACAAATGAGATATCTGAAGAGGAGGAATCATCAAGAGAAAATATCCCAAGAAAAAGAGTAAATCAGGGTAGAATTTCATCAATCTTCCCAAACATGGTCTTTTCTTAATCCCAATTCAATTAAAAATCAAAGCTGGTTTTGCAGTTGGAGCATGGCTTTCTTCTTCTCTAAACCTAAGCATGCTTGTTAAAGGAAAACTGAAAATCTCTGTTTCATGTTTAAAGAGCTGCCTAGTATGGGATAGAAGAAAATCAAAATTAAGGGACTATTTTATTGTCATGAATCCTTGGTTTCATTTTGACTCTTTGAAACTTTTCCTAAGATATAAATACTATCTCAAAATCTATAAGATTTTCATGTATATATAAATTTTGTCAGGATATTAGTAGTCATGTAGACTACTAATTAATTCTCAAAATAAGCTTCATCCAGCTACTTGTATGTGTTTCAGGGTTTGAGTCTGAAGCAGGTAATTAGGCACTAAGCTTGTGTACCCCTGATGTACTTGATAGATTCTGATTGTCTAACATTTCATAAATCTGTTGTATACAGCATATAAAATGTTTTAAGTTTTCTGCAGTAAACCATGACCATTCGTAACAAGAACCTTCGAGTGCTCCAAAAAAAAATGAAGGGGTCCTTCAATGATGACTGTGGGAATGCCATTAAGCTAACAAACACTACCCAAAGATCAATTTTGACGTGCAAACCTTTAGGACAACTTCAGAGCAACTAGTTAAGATGGTCCAGTCTCACAGACTCCTCCAGGCAGGACTTCTGTTAAGCCCCACACTTTCTCACAGAGACTAGACAACAAATGATACAGCTAGCTCTCCCGGGACTTGGTCATTATCACAATTTTCTCAGGGGCCTCTAAAGATGCTGCTGCCCCCAGATAATAAGAAGTAATTTGAAGAAAATGACAACCACATTACCAAGAAGTGGTGTGGATAGTTTTTGGTCATTTGGTGGGTTTTGGATGTTTGTTGTCATTTAGGGGAGTTGGTTATAAGCTGTTATTAGTCATGGTTAGGGAAGAAGTAAAAAAAGGTTAGATTAAGAGATTTATTTTTTTTTATTTGTCTATCCTTTCTCTCCTATCTACTGTTGAAAAGGGGGGATGGGGAACAAAAAGGGGGGAATATAAGAATGATAGAATAAAATGGTAGAGTATTGAATCTACTTTTAAACTGAAAACCAACTACTAGTCTCAAATATTTACAATGGTATGGATTTTTTATATTAATTCAAATTTGAGGTTTTGTTTTAACATACTGGA